ACAATTCCTATTATATTAATATTGTTACTAATTTATGGGCACTATATTACTTTTATTCTTGTAATATCTCCAAATTATTATACTGTATTTATAATATATTTTAATTCTTGGAAACAAAAACCTTTTCAATAGGAGATGTCATATAAAATAATTCATTAAACGTGTCTTAAAAGGCGAATAATTTTGATACCATAATCTTTATTTGTGTTAAATTGGAGTAAAATCTTTTAAGTAAGGATTTATTGCAAACAAAGAAAAAAGAAGAGCTCTATTCTTCTGGCGATCCATCTTCTGGATTGGTATTTATATTATGATTACAAATATTTAATTAGTTTCTCATAATTAAAATATTTATTTATAGCCACTAATAATAATTTACAGCTATTTTCTAATGCGCTCTATTTTGAATTTAAATGACTTTTACAAATAATTATAATATTATCATTAAATATGACGTTAATATTTATAAAAAGTGAATCTAGATCATTATCATATGATAAAATAGATTACTTTTTATATTTTTCTATCATTTCGGTGTTATATTAGGAATTACAATCATTTAATTATATTAATGTGATATATTTTCTACTCATTTGCCAGATATGTCTGAATATTAATATAATGTCTATATTTGGGTTAATTTTATTCCACATACATTACAAGTAGTCAAACAGACATTTTGTTATTACTCGTTAGATGTATATCCAGATTATGATTACAATCAAAACACTTAAGATTTTCATTTGCTAGTAATTATATTCAACTGAATGTTATCTAATGCTATAAATAGGCTGAATTCATTAATTAATTTAGTAGCTAATTTTTTACCATTAAATTTTATTCATTTTAATATTAAGTTATCTGCTTACAGTAATTTCTAATTAGTATGACGTCCATATGGTTAGTATTTGAGTTGAGCTTAAATTAATTCATACCATAAATCTTAAAAAACCAAAAATAAATACTAAAAAAGATTACAAAATAAATTAAATGTATCAAAATATTGTACATATTTTGTAGAAAATAAATTGTTATATTTTTAATTATAGTTTACAATTAAATAAATTCTTAATATTTTAATAATAAATTACATTGAATAAATTCTTGGTTTAAGTCACTGAGCGCTTACAATACAATATAAATACTATAGAATTAGATGCAATTCTGTAGATATTCTAAAAATGTTGTCATATTCTGTAGGATTCATTCTTCTAGTATTGGGAGCGTTAGTATTAATGGCCGGGTATGTGATGCCACGAATGAATATAGACGTCGGCTATCAGGAGGAGATGCGGATTATCGATCGGGCGGCCTATATGTTCAACCAGAACCTGGACTGGTGTAAGATCATTGGTTTAGCCGTGTTCTGCGTTGGCGGTGTACTCTTATCAGCATCGCTACTACTGCCGGGACTGGTAGGCCTTTCCTGTATCGACGACTCCGATGATGACGAGTCCACACCATTTAAGCTGCGGATCGCAGACACAGAGGACTTCTATTGCGATGATATGTGCGATGAGACGAAGGATAGGATACCGGCCACCGAACAGCTGAAGAGCGTTCAGCCCAAGCGAGAAGATAAGATCGTTATCACAAACTCTGGCCTTAAAAAGGTTGACATGGATTAAGGGATTTGCGTATTATGTGAAACTAATAATAACTTATCAATTTAATTTCACACTTATGTTATGTTTGATGATTAGTCTTTCATATATTTGATCTCATTTTTATTGATTTTTTCAAAAAAGAGACATACAATCAATCATTTATTTGATTAAAAAGTGAGGTTTGGTTTGAAACATATTTGTAGTGTTAATATAAACGATAAGAAAACATTTTCTGCATTTTGAGAGCAAATTCTTTTAAATGTCAAATGAAAACGTTTGGGTCGACTAAATATTCTACAACTTATAAATTTAGTAAAATATTCAAAAGCATTTTTAAAGTTTTATAAATTTCTTGCCTTTTAACCCAAACCTTGTTTTTGTATAAAGTACTTGACTTTCTTAAATCTCATGTTTCAATTAATTTGTTTTAACTTTCATTTAATTATTAATTTTATAATTTATATAAAAGTTTTGCATAAAATCTCATATAATCCATAACTTAAATATGTTGGTTTTAGTCAACTTTTCATCAAATGTGATAATGTTTTAGAAAAAGGCTTTGATTTGAATATGTATTATGTGTTATATAAATAACTTATTGTATTAAGCTAATGGATTTGAACGCCAAATTGATGATTTGGTCTGGTTCACAGTTACTTAATATCATATATGAAATACCGGAATATGTAATAAATTGAATAATAGCAACAAACATATTACACACAAATTTGCACTATATTACCAAAGATTTGATACAAAGTTATGTATGAAAATCAAAAATATCTATTATATTATATATATAATTCATGAGTCAATCAATAAAATATAATATGATTTAAATGATAGATTCATACCATTTATAACTCATAAATGGTTTTGTATATTAAGAAACTGTCGGAAATGTCGAGTCCGGGGAACAAAAATATGTAAAGTATTGACACGATTTTCAGTCACAATATGTGTATACTTATGGGTTTGCGTTCATATCATATGCTGACACAGAATACATGGAAATCTAAATGTTTTCATGAATAGTAAAAAATAAAATATAACAAAATTGTGTTGAATTTTAAAGTCATTTATGAAAATAAAGGAATCGTTTTGTTTTTGTTTTTCTATAGACGAGTCTATAAATTATTTATGTATTTAAGAAAATAATTGAATTAAACATTTAATTCAATATTCAATGCAAAAGAATATTAGATTAAAGTTTGTGTTCATTAATAGAAAGAGAAAATCAAATGTATATTGAATTACATGTTTTGCTTTTTTAGCAAATTTTAATTATGCCTTTCATTTAATTAAAGTATGTAATTAGATTTTATCATTTAATGTAAGTATTTGTCGTCCAAACAAACCTTCGTATGAATTCATGTTCAAACAAATGGCAAGAATTGTATTTATGAAGCAATTCCTCTTTTAACAGAATATTCATATAATGTATACTAAAGTGTGACATCTGTTACACATATATAAAAATTAACTAATTTTTCAATATTACTTTATCGTTTATTTATGCATATTAATTTAATATTCAATCAAGATATTTCAAATTTTAATCATCTATATCATAGAATCTATGAAATAGATGTTCAAAGAAATTAGGGAATTTAAAAATCAAAATACTGTATGTTATATTTATTATCCTAGCTAATTGTTTAACGTTTGAGTTTTTCCAATGAATTGCTTAATCGATAAATGAATTCATTTATACAATAGTTATAAAAATGAGATATAATACTGTAACTATAAAATAATAATCAGAATACTAATGAGTCAAGAATGTATTGATTGAAAAGTATCCAGACAATTGCGACAATTGACTGTACAGTACAGTAGTGGTGAGTTTGTATGTGATTGTGAGTGCAATGCCTCCTATGGGCGGCAATAGGAGTTCGTAATCATATGAGTTGTTATGCAATAGTATTGTTGACAACAAACACAGCGAATGACAAACAGTTGACTCATTTGGCACTCATATGGACACAAGACATGACACCATGGCTTAAGTGGTGACCCGTTTGTGGCAATCATTACACGTTTGGTGGTATGAGTGGACAGTCTTGTCGTGACTGCAATGGACGCACAGTTGAGACAATTGATGGGTGAGATAG